TTCGACCTCAGCATCTCCAGCGGAACCTGAACCCGAATAGTGCAATGTATAGGCTCGACACGTCAACCACTGAGCCACACTGCAATTAATGCTCTTGAATCACAGGGCGGACGTAAGTTTCAAGGAAGGCCAGTCCTTTCTCATAGAATTTTATGTGGTGGGATTGTTGATGAAGCAAAGTTGCATTTAGTATAGCAATCGACCATATTATTATCACTCATATGATTGAAGGAAAATTCAGCAAACAGTCCTTTATCACACTACTGATAGTTTCGAGAGATACCCTGGCACGGAGCATCTTAATTGGAATGGGATGTGCCTCTGGGGTTAGTATGGCTCAAAATGTTGCCCTTTTTATGGGCCCTTCCCATCCTCAAAAATTTCCTCTGCTGTCAACACCATCTCGACAAGACCCAAAAAAACGGTTAGAGTATCAGATGGCAGCCCCGGTTTCCACACCCGAGCTGGCAAAACTTGATGAAAAAAACTGCCCCAAAGGTTATTATGCCTAAGAGACTTCTAAAATGCTCCCTACATGTTGCATCGATATCCTCCATGTCCTTGTGAAGTAGTCCGTCTATATGTAAGAGGAGACAATTCCCTTTTTACTTAAACCTGAGAGGATTTTGCTCTTTCCAGATGAAGCGTGTGCACTTAAAAAACCATGTTACAATACAATCTTATGACATAAAATTGTTGTCGAGATTCATTTCGTATGAAAGTGAAGACATTCGAAGGTCGACCTGACCAGAAGACGATGGCTGATTCCCGTTGTACCTGCAGCAGTTTGATTTCAATACGACGTTCAAGTTGACGGGATCCGCAAGACCTCCTCCCTCATTCCGGGCGAAAACGGGCTAAACTTTCGTTCGTCATATGAGCATCATCATCGGAGCTGAAAGGCATTCTTGCACATTCTCACGTTAACACTAGGTCAAGAAGAGTTATTCGTAGTTTCGAAGCCTACCTGATCGGAATATAAGCCAAGGGATCCAAATTGCGTAGGAGACTACTCGTAGCATGTCAAGGTGACTTGAATTACGAATTTTGCAATTGTGCGTTTCAGGATTGATGATATTCGTCAATTTATGAACATCGCCAGAAACGAGGGATAATGTTTCATGACTGCGTCAACGTCGTATTAAAGCCAAACGGCTGAAGTACAACAGCAATCAGATATCGTCTTCCGG